CTACAGCCTGTACACCCGGTGCGCCAGCCACAGCAGAACAGATGGGAGGGTGTGTGCACTCTCACAGGGTCGTGCAGACCCTGCACACACCCTCCCATCTGTTCTGCTGTGGCATCTGACCTGCACCTTGTAGCTAAGCTCCATCCTCTGTCCAGTAGACAGACGCACTGAATAAATGGCAGGTGGAAAACAGTCTGATTTTGGTTTTCTTACTTAAACAAAAATCTATTGGTTATCAAGAACATGGGCCCACTTCATTGTTGGCTTAGTGAAACTACTAAATGAGAAAATGATCCATATCCTTTAATTTGCTGTGAATTTTCTAGTTCTAATTTAGCTCAAACATCACATCAAAATAGTCACTTGTACAAAAGAAATGCCAAAATCTAGTGGATAGTTTTGTGAAATTTATGGAGAAGCTTTTGATTACTATGAACTCTTGGCTTTTCTAGCCCTACATTCAAGAGCCACTGCTGCTAGTGTGTTAAAATAGCAAAATCATCATTATGGCATCAGCTTTCAACATTTAAGTGTTGCACACCCCAGATGCTATCACAGGGCTTTAGACTTCTAGTTCTGTTATTAAGGCAGCTTTGTAAAATACATAATATAAAGAACTTGTGATTTAAGAATGTCCAAGAAGCATGCACACGTCTAACCTGAGCAGCATGTGTGATGGGCGACTTCTCTAACATGGCAGCCAGAGCTTCGGTAGTGGGTATCTGGTCATACGAGTACTGAAACCCCACACTGCTGTAACGCCTTGATGCAGGAGAGAGAGAAGATCCAAATTATTAAGTGGTTTGGATGCTGAACAGTGGAGCTAAAGCTTGTGTTGCTGTGTATGACTGTGTCTCACCAGTCCACTATATCACTGGTTCCCACTAAAGTAGCAGCATTAATGACAGGGTTCCTGACTGCACACGCTCTGTAGAAGTCTGGGTACTGACCAACCAGATGACAAGACAGGAAACCCCCATGAGATCCACCAAACACAGCCAAGCGTTTGGGGTCAAGGGTCGGGTCTCTCTGCAGCATAGTAACAACAGCCCTCTGGGAAATGACAGGAAAAAAAAATTTCCAGAGGAGTACTGAGCTGTTTAAGGCCTAAACACATGTATTTTACAGGGTTTCTTTGAGCCTGAAGTTTGTCAATCTCATTCTGTCCAACAGTCAGTACCTGCACATCTTTTACATCCTGACTTCCGACCTGACCAATGAGGGACAAAATGCTGTTTTGGCCAAACCCAGTGGATCCCCGGTAGTTCACTGGACAGAAAGACACAGAGAAGGACAGAGGGAAGGCAGCCAAGTCAAAACAGAACCTGAAGAGATTTTGTATGAAGATTTCACATGAACACTAAAGACTGATAAATTACAAGATTTACTGTTTTTGTTGTAGTAGATGAGGAAAAATGTAGAAGACAGAACAAAAGGAGACAGAGGTGCCTCACCCAGGAGTACAGCGAAGCCGAGTTTAGCCAGTCCAGCTGTGATGGTGTTCCACTCTGCAGGAAACTGGGAGTGAGGCCCACCTGAGGGAGCAAACGTATAAAAATAATTAGTTTAATGTGTACACCCTGTGAGCAAAGATACAGCAATCACAGAAGTGTATACAGACCATGGATGAAAACAACCAGAGGTATCTTGGCTTCACTGATGGGATGAGATGGTTTAACCAGGATAGCCCCGAAGTCTAAACCACCTGAGGAGAGAGACAAAAAGTAAGAGCAGAGCTCAACATCAGAACCAAGTCTTTCATTGAAGGAGTGACTGAAAGCTCACGGTACTGCTCATTGTCCTCCTCAGATGGAGGTGCAACATCTAGAACTGTCCACTGGAAGTCGAAGGTCATGATGGGCTCCTGCAGGGTGCGCCAGGTCACAGCCTCACCTGCCGAGGGGATGAACCCCACCCTCTGCACACACAGACACATGTAGCTCATGTAACAGAAATGCAGTAAACAGTACTTTGAACTAGTGCTTGGTGTTGTAAGTCGGCATGTGCCGACTTACCAGAGTGGGTGGTGTATTAGGGCTGGAGCAGCTGACGACCATCAGGTCCCTCTGGATTGTCCAGCTGCCATAAACTCTGGAGGGACCTGCAGAGAAGAGTTTAAAAAAAGAAAACACCCAACTGAAGCAAACACTGGAGAAAACCAGAGATCAAGGTCTCAGAAATTTTAAAATTCTGTACCCACATAAAATTACACAGGTATAGATGATCTTATATTGAGTCTCTGCATATCCAAGTCACAGGTGTAAATGATGTTTAAAACCTACCAAAACCATTCCACTCAACTCTTGCAGGTAAATCTTCATCTGAGCATTGAATAAGATATAAATTTCAACAAAAACAGTGTAGTGGTGCAATAGTGTAGAAGTTTTATTTTAAATTTTGTGTTTTCCTAGTGTGTTCCAGTAGGTAGGGTGGTGGTAGCAACATTGAATCTGCTGGTTTTCTCATACCTTCCTGGTCTGTCTTGTGTTCTTGATGATGAAGATGAACAGATTGAGGAAGAGCAAGGTGAGGGTCAGAAAGAGGGGGACAAAAAGAAGGTGGAGGTGGAAGAAGAGAAATATATGGACAGACTCCTACCAGTAGAGAGGGAGGTGACTTTCTTTGACCTTCTGTCGACCATAAAGAGCTCCTGAGGGAGAGACAAGCCAAGAGTAAATGAGTTGTAGAGGAGTGTGTACTGTATATATCATGAAAATACTACAGGAAAAAATATAACTGGTTTGATTTCTGTGAGGAGACTGGCAGAAAATGTGTGACAGCTGCAGACATCTGATGCTTGTGTATGTGCATGTACTTTTTCCCTGCCATCACTGTGAGACATTTTAGCTCACAACTTCACAAGCTTTTTCAGGTTTAAGACTTGGTGAAGGTTTGGCTGAGGGGCAGTTTACTCACATCAATGGGTGTCCACACATCTATAGTAAGACACAGCTGTGTGTGTATAATTACCCTCCAGTTCCTGCAGGGGCTGCTGAACACCACTCTTTGACTGTCTGCAGACCAGCAGCAGGATGGCAGGGCACCATACACACCTGCAAACTCACCTGAAGCACAGAGGGATGCAGAGAACAAACATTTTACCTTTTATATTTTGAAATGTGGTCCTTCCACCTCTGAGCTCATTTACCAGCTTCATTAAGAGCTTCTCCTACAGCTCGTTTCATATGTTCAACAATTACCAGCTTCATAAACGGAGTTGAAACATCTGAGGCAGTCACTTCAAAAACTGAGTATTAGGCTTAAAGTCATGAATAATGAACTAGCTGTTCTGATCTGCCAAATGTAAATGGAGGTTAAAATTAAAATAACGAATGATGATGGCAAGAACAGAATATTTGGAAATGTGCATCATCATCTTGGAGCAAAGTGGTGGACTGACAGAACAACAGTGCTATCACACCAGCTATGCCGTGTGTAACCTACCAGTCTGTGGTCTGTTGACGACATCCAGCAGTGTCGATGTCTCCCCAGTCTTCATGTCCAGCTGTGGAGGATTAAGAGAGAGTCACACTGTTCAGCTGCTTACACACACAAAGTTGTGTTTCCATCAATTCTGTGAACTCTCTGTAAAGGCTGTGACTCCAGCCCCTTGTTAATCTAATTCCTCTGAGCTAGAGACCTCCACTGTTGTAAACATCAAACCACCGGCCTTATCCCTGAAACCAATCACATTTTGGGGACTTGCATTTTATCCCTATAAAGGACTTTGAGTACCTCAGTGTGATGTATGGCCCCTACAACATGAATAACACCAACCCACACACTACCTGCTGCAGACTGAGGCACTGACTGTGAGGACCAAACACTCGGCCCTGCAGGTAGATCAGCGTGGACCCATCTGGACTCAGCCTGGGACACAACACCGACAGGTTGTCACCAGACAGACATTCTGATTTACAGGGAAGAGGACAGACAGACATCAGATGAGCAAAACTCTGTGTATGTTTGATTAATTAACAAAGAGACACAGGCAATGTACTCACCACATTTTCTGTCCAGACCAAGCTTGAATATCGCCGACCTGAAACACATTTTAAACAGAAAGACAAAGTGAAGAAGCAGTCATTTTCTCTGCATAGGTTAAGGACTGATACACCCAGAAGCTCTATATTTACACAGGTCAGTAAACTAAATGCTTTCTTCCTGGTGCCTTAAAGGACTTTGTCTTTTCTGCCTGCTGACTGCTGTTTAGATAAGTTTACCATTTTCCTCTCCAGTTTCAGTTTAGCAGATCTTCTACTCAAGAAAAGCACAACAGCAGCAAAAATGGTCTGATATATAAAAAAGTACTTTTCTGTGCGGTCAATAATACATATATGTGCCAAAGAATCGGAGCGGAGAGCATTCATATGGACGCTCAGTGTACGAGTTAAATGACGTTTACCCAATATTTGACCTCCCCACCCCCATGTCATAAATCTTCAGAGCCCCACAATAAGCAACACCATTTTCCAGACCTAACCTGCCCATAATGATGTGTGTTGGAGAAAAAGAAAAAGCCGATTCAGTTTCAGTGCTTATGTTGCTGTGGTTTTTCATGCTGAGTCAAGAAACCACAGTAACCATCTGACCTGCGGTTGGTGGTGAACATCAGTCCAAGTCTGAAGGGTTCATGGTAAAGACCAACAAAAACCACTGACTGACTGTCAGGAGTCCACAGAGCCTGGAGGACAACACAAACAGAAAAGAAAATTACAGGGGGAAAAAAAAACCAAACAAAATTAAAAGAGAATGTCCTAATATTATTTTGTCTTGTTATTAAAGATGACAATCAATCACATCATGACTGCATTTATATTTCAACACAAATGTATATCCAGGCAATGAATTCAAACTTGGCTCCCATACATCAACAAAGCTTGTGCATCCTCACCTGTCCAGGTGAGACATCAGTCGGCACACCCTGCAGCGTGCTGACGGTGCCACTCTGCAGGTCCGCCACACAAATCACTGGGTTGCTCTTGTTGGTCAGGCCCTCGCCCCAGTCCTCACAGTACACACTCCTGTCCTGTTTGGGCACAACAACACACATTAGAAAACCAAGAACCGTGTACACACTTCTGTGTAGTTAATAACAGGTTTTGGACTTATTCTACAAAATGGTCTGCACCTGTTAAATTTACCAACTGCTTGATATTAATTTTAAGATGAAGATCATATCCATTGCATGTGTGTGTGTGTGTGTGTAATACCTTCCCAGATTCTCCATCATGAGTTCCTGTTGTGTTCTTGCTCCTTTCAGCTACATACAGCAGTTTGTTCTCACACAATGACCATGACAGACAGCCAAACTGAGCTAGAAACACACACACACACACACACACACCAGTAAGAGTATAAACACAATATAGAGAATGTACAGTATAAAAATGCTACAGTACGAAGGGTACAACAGCCCTTATGCTGCACAAAAATGATAAACTGAAAGGTCAGCAGTGCTTAGATATTTCTGCGTGACCATACAACAGATGTTCTTTTTGTTGGTAGAAAAAGCGTCCAAGGATATGAACCATCCAACTCACCATCACTGTACACTTGCCCGTGCTTGTTGAGGGAAGTCAAGTTGAGGCACTTCCTGAGGCTGTGGCTGTCCCATATCTAAACAGCAGCAACAGTCTGTCAGAATTGGGGATGGGCATTTCAAGCTAAAACACTATTCAGTATTTGCTGGGAATTATTTGACAATTATTCAAAACCCCCACCCCCTGCACTGCTGAGAGTCCCGCTCCATGTTGGCCAACACCACAGCGCTAACGTCATGTACGCATGCTGTGACTTTACCTGTGAGCCTCCAGTGTTCTGCGGTGGTGGAAAGTACATTTACTAGGTTTTCAGCAGTTTGCCGTTCTGGTATTGCTTTAATCTGAAGAACAGCTCTCTGTATTTTCCAGTTGTTTAAATAATGGCAGGTGACTGTCACATATGATTCAGTTGTAAGCACTGACCATGCAGCTGTGGTCAGACACACCTTGATTTCCAGGCACCAGTAAAAGCGAGAGAAAACAGTGGCTCTTTGCTTTTAAAGGCAAAACCATAGTCGCATGAGTTTTTAGATTTTTTTCCCCAAATGTAATGATTGTTCAAATATGTGAACATCACCATCCATCCCCAGTCAGAATATGCAAACGCAAGTCTTACAAGGGACGTTAGGATACATTTTTCTCACCTCTAGGAGCTGTTGGCCACCTGTCTCCCTGACAACAGCCCTCAGGTTTCGAATGGGAGAGAATCCACTCAGCAACCTAAAAAGCAGAGGAGAAACAAAAAGTGTTTAGTTTAAATAAAGTGGCAGAACACCAGGCTGAAAGACAGTTTAACTGAGCAGACCCAGCATCACTGATGGATGTACATGGGTGTAGAACTGTGCTCTACTGCACATTTAACCAGAGGTGGAAAGTAACCAAGTACATTCACTCAAGTACCGTACTTAAGTATGATACCTCAAAAAGTATTTTTGTTTTATGCGACTTCAAATTTTGACTTCACTACATTTTAAAGAAAAACATAGTACTTTTTACTCACTATATTTATTTGGTAACTGTAGTTATTAGTTTAGATTGTGGTTAATAAAACAACACACAGTATAAGCACAAGATTTATTGATCCTTGGTATAAAATTCACAAGCTACCCACAAGTATTTCAAAATTATAAGTATATAAAAGGTAGTTATAATTAGCTTTGCTTTCATCAGCTGCAACATTAAAATGTTATGCACACAATAATTATAATTGAATAAGACAGTAGTGAGACCAGCTATGCTGTATGGGTTAGAGTCTGTAGCAGTGAGGAAAAGACAAGAGGCAGAGATGGAGGTAGCAGAGATGAGGATGTTGAGGTTCTCTTTAGGAGTGACCAGGATGGACAGGATTAGGAATGAGCCCATCAGAGGGACAGCTCAGGTGGGCTGTTTTGGGGACAAGGTCAGAGAGGCCAGATTGAGGTGGTTTGGACATGTGCAGCGGAGGGATAGTGGTTATATTGGTAGAAGGATGTTGGAGATGGAGCTGCCAGGCAAGAGGTCAAGAGGAAGACCAAAGAGGAGATATATGGATGTGCTAAAAGAAGACATGAAGTTAATTGGGGTGAGAGTAGAGGATGCCAAGGATAGAGTTAGTTGGAAACAGATGATTCGCTGTGGCGACCCCTGATGGGAACAGCCGAAAGAAGAAGAACGTAAATATTACCATTTTGCATAATGAGCATTTTTACTTTTGGTAATTTAATTATATTTCTGCTAATACTTTTGTACTTTTACTTTAGTAACATTTTGAATGCAAGACTTTTACTTGTAACCGAGTATTTTATTTTTGTGGTATTGCCACTTTTACTTAAGCAAACAATCCGAGTACTTCTTCCACCACTGCTGCATGGCCAGCTAAGATTTTGCCTAATGTTTCTTTACACAGTTTCTACATGATGGCACAACTCACTCTCCAGACACTGGTACACAGGGTCCTGGCGGGAGAACAGTCCTGATGCTCTTGTGATCGTTGGGGTCTGTGATCAGAGTCCACTGCTGCAAGTAGCAACGTTTGGAGCCATGGACCAGGTCGCTCTGACTCCACTCTGGTTGTGGATACAGTGAACAGTTTTCCAAATTGGATTTAATAAAAAAGAAGCTTATAAAAAAAAAAAAAAACATTATTTCTAGAATCCACATTTGAGTGATGAGAATCATAGATACACAACCACAATAGTCAAAATAGTGTCTACACCATATCTGTCTATTGAACACGTGGCGAGAAAATACCTTAATCACAGATAGAGTATTTATCTGCCTACATGGCAAGTATGCATAAAGAATTCACATACCTGCAAAATTCTTACAAATTATGTAGCTGTCAGTGAAGGTTACTTTTCAAAAACGTTACACTTACTCTAACTGAGCAACATGCTCGAATGATAGAGTTACTGAGAAAAAAAGAAGATTATTAATATATCACTAGAGTCTTTTGGGCAGCAACTGTAAGACAGCATATAAAATTATTAGTTATTTAGTAGATAGAGCCGAAAGAATAAAAAAAAGGTTCTTAGAACTGCCTAAACTACTAAATCTTATCCAAAATACATATATTACTGTTCCATCCACACTCCAGCCCAGTGAGTGGCGGTAATGCACCTTAAGTTGGTTAGAAGAAGAAGACGAAATTTTGTGTTTTTACACAAACAATGCAAATCAATACAAGATTTTTCAGCACAAATTGTTGCAACAGATGTATAACAGTGTGCATTAAGAGGACAAAAGTAGGCATAATATAAAGTGAAAACGAATAAAATAATCGGAAGCCGTAGCGGCAGCAGCAGGACAAGAAGAAGAAGAAGACGCCGAAGCCGAAGCAGGAGAAGAAGACGCCGAAGCAGGAGAAGAAGACGAAGAAGAAGCAGGAGAAGAAGAAGAAGAAGAAGAAGCAGGAGAAGAAGAAGAAGAAGAAGAAGCAGGAGAAGAAGAAGAAGAAGCCGAAGCCGAAGCCGCAGGAGAAGAAGAAGCCGAAGAAGAAGCCGCCGAAGCAGGAGAAGAAGAAGAAGCCGAAGCCGGAGGCGGGGGAAGAGGAGAA